GGGGGTGTTAAGGACATGCGAACGTTATAATTTTAAAATGGCTACATGCGAACAATTGCGAACAAAGGGGGGGAGGGGGTCTAGATTTCTGAAAAAGTGCGAACGTTATATGTGAACAACGCCTAATTCAAAAATCATTTTATATTTTGCAACAAAAAATTTGTTTCATATTTTAATCCTATTTCTAGCTATAAATATGGCTATAATCGGATATAATTATTTATCACAGGATTTGCATTTGATTGGCAAATAAAAGTCTGGTTTCTCAGACCCGTGATATTAAGTTTGTATAAACTCAACACTTGTATTGATTTAAATATTGAGTTTTATTTGTGTTTATTTAAAGCATTTTAAATGATAAGTTATTATCGATAATAATAAAGCAAATCAAATAACGCACACATGTGTATTTGCATACCTGAGCTCTAACTGACCATCAGTTTAGTAGTTAATGTGAATTCAGATCACATACACAGCCATAAATTTAATCATTAATAATATTTGAACTATTCTAACCATAATTAGATAATTACTAGTATAATATAGTGTACAATGCCTTTCAATTATATACTCTATTCCGGTAGCGAACACATGATTGCAATCGATATACCATCAGATGTTAAGACAGTCAAACATCTCAAACGTTTCCTACAGACTAATAGTCTGTACAATGAAAACACCGACACTATTGCCATATCGTATGAGTTAAATGAACGCAAAACATTTCAATTGTATCATGATTATATCCATTTGGCCCGTAACTATGATTATTACATATGCATTAATTCAAGATCTAATTCTCAATCATCCAGGTATGTTTTTAATAATATATAATTATTGTTAATTAATAATTTATTATTTGTTTGAAACTATAGTCTGAGTGAAGAGTCGGACCGAAAGTGTCGTGAATTGTGTGAAGAGATGTCGGCTCTGAAGGCAAGCAATGAGTCCGAAGTGAAGGCATTGAAAGCTCAGCTCAATTTAGCCATCGATTCAATGGTGACAATGGCTCAAGAGATCATTGATTTGAAACAACAATTATCATCATTGGGTTCATTATTGTAATGATTCTTATGTCACATAATATGTGATATAAATATTGTGTTATTTATATTTGAGTTAATGTCGAGACAACTGCTAATAAATAGCAAAACTAAATAAAACATTTTGACAAACATTTGAACTGATTATGATCTGAATTTAATTCAATAAACAACGCTTTTTTAAATTATAACCCTATTATTTATTATTTTTAAAATGTTTAAATTAACTTAATTTATATTATACCATGATTTTATTATTGACAATAATTTATTGTGCAAATCTAATGTAGTATTAAATTAAATTTTAAATACAGGTGATTTAAGTAAAGTTTTACTAACATACATTTAAAATAATATTAATATTGATTATTTATCACAAGTTTTGCATATGATATTCAAATAAAAGTCTGGTTTCTCATACCCTGGTTAAAAAGTGCGAACGTAATTTGCGAAACACCCTAAACAATAAATAAAATAATGCACACATGTGTTCGCATACCTCTACTCTAACTGACCATCAGTATATTAGTGAATGTAAATTCATCATCGTTATTAAATAATATTTCAGTTATTATAACTATAATTAGATAATTACTTGTATAATATACTGTATAATGCCTTTCAATTACATACTCTATTCCGGTAGTGAACACATGATCGCAATCGATATCCCATCAGATGTTAAGACAATCAAACATCTCAAACTATTTCTACAGCTTAATAATCTATTCAATGAAAACACCGACACTATTGCCATATCCTATGAGTCTAATGAACGTAAAACATTTCAATTGTATCATGATCATAATCAGTTGGCTCGTAACTATGATTATTACATATGCATTAACTCCACATCTACTACTCAATCATCCAGGTATGTTTTTAATAGTATATAAATAAGTTTATATTTAATTAATGAAATGTTTGTTCAAAACTCTAGTCTGAGTGAAGAGTCGGACCGAAAGTGTCGTGAATTGTGTGAAGAGATGTCGGCTCTGAAGGCAAGCAATGAGTCCGAAGTGAAGGCATTAAAGGCGAGCAATAAGTCTGAAGTGAAGGCATTGAAAGTAAAGCTCAAGAAAGCCATTCATTCAATGGAGACAATGGCTAAAGAGATGATTAATTTGAAGCAACAATTGTCAGCATTGGGTTCTTCGGGCACTAATAGCGGAATGAGTGGACACAACAAACGGGACTCATCGGGAAAGCCGAGACCTCTGTCATCGCGTTCAGACAACTCCGCTCTAGACTACCAAACAATACCACTTGAACCCAATGACTTGGTTTGGGCCAAATGTCCCGGTTATCCCTGGTATCCGGCGCTGATTGTCGACCCGGACCTATCCCGTGGCCATACCCATGGAGACAATGGGCCACCCGTTCCGCCCGACGATGTGCTGGCGATGGCCAACAAAGAGGACAAACATAATGAATATTTAGTCTCGTTTTTTGACCAGAAACGCACTTGGTATGTATTCCAGTACCCAATTGTATGGATTATAGTAAATAGATGTTTATAGTATTACCATGGTGAAATATAAATTACACATTATTTTGAACATGATATTTGTAACAATACTTTCGTAACAAGCTAAATAATGGATTGATTGTATATTTTTGTAGGCAATGGTTACCCCGTGATCAGTTGAAGCCATTGGGTAGTGAGGCCAATATTGATGAGCAAAAGTTGATTGAGTCCCGTAAGCCGTGTGATAGGCGAGCGGTCAATACAGCCTACACTAAAGCCCTCGAGTTTTTTGCTCAAATCAATTGAAAATAAATTCATTTGTTTTATAATTATTGTAACGATTCTTATGTGTTATTTATATTTGAGTTAATGTCGAGACAACTGCTAATTAATAGCAAAACTAAATAAAACATTTTGATAAACATTTGAATTGATTAAGATCTGAATTTAATTCAATAAATAATGCTTTTAAAAAATTATAACCCTATTATTTATTATTTTTAAAAATGTTTATATTAACTTAATTTATATTATAAAATGATTTTATTATTGTGCAAACCTAATGTAGTATTAAATTAATTTTTAAATAACAGGTGATTTAAAATTATTTATTTGTTAAGTAAAGTTTTACTAACATACTGTATATTTATGTTTATATTAAACGTTGAAAAATTAATTTCCATAAATTATCCGATGTTATGACCTTGAAATTCATCAAGGTTAATTTTATTACATATTTATATAAGCATTCAGGACTTTGGTACAGAATGTTTTTATCTAGATTGATAATTATAAATATAAATTATTTGTGATTAAAATAGACTGAGATTAATAATAATAAATGTCATTTACAATATGCAACAAAATTAAATATATTAAATTACTCTAAAATAATTAAGTATCTAGATAGTATAAAGAACAATGAATATTGTTTTTACATAATTAGATTTAAATAAAACCAACATAGTGTGAAAATAAAAATATCAATAGTAATTATTACGAGCATTTATTGTAACCTGATAATTATAAAGCTGTTAAATGACAGTGTAACATTGAGATATAAAAATTATAAACATTTATAAAATAAATAGTTAAAATTAAAACAGATAATTGATTTTGCAAAATAAAGTGCCATTCTATTCTAACTCTAAAACAATCTACATTTTAAAATTTAAAATCATGTTTAGTATACACGTGTTATACGTAACTATACTTGCGGTCAGTGTGTGTGTGAGTGGTGTTGAGGTAACACATGATAAAAATGGCGATACTGTGAGCGTACGGATCGGCAACGGAGTGATCGATGGGCGCCGGGAGTCATACGAGGGCCGGGATCTGGACGTATATCTGGGCGTACCGTACGCTCAGCCACCGGTCGGACCCCTGAGATTCAAAAAGCCTTTACCTGTAGTGGACAAGTGGACGGAGCCGTTGGATGCACAGCACTGGTCGCCCGCCTGTTATCAAGTAAAAGTGCATAATGACTACTTTAATGCTAATATGAGTGAAGATTGCCTATACCTAAACATCTGGTCGCCGGCCGTCAACCCTTCGGCACCGGACACACTCCGACCGGTGATGTTTTGGATACACGGCGGGGGACTCGTGTGGGGATCGGCCGTTGAAAAGTTTTATAGCGGACACGTGTTGTCAGCACTCGGCGATGTAGTTGTGGTTACAATAAACTATCGACTGAACGTATTTGGTTCGCTGTATACGGGAGCGGAGGGCACAGCACCGGGCAATCAGGCCCTATGGGATCAGGCGCTGGCACTGGAGTGGGTCAGCGATAATATCAAATACTTTGGCGGCGATCCCGATATGGTTACGGTGTTTGGCGAGAGCGCCGGCGCTATATCAACGGCTCTGCACACACTTTCACCGGTCAGTCGACATCTATTTAAGCGGGCGATTGTGATGTCCGGAACGCCGCTTAACAGCCGTTTAATACCTGATAGAGACCTGTTGGAGGCCCAGTGGGTTAGGGCTGCCGTTAAGCTCGGTTGCGAAGCCGAGAGCACCGGTAAGTTTACCCCTAAACTTGTCGACTGCCTATTGGCAAAGCCTACCGACCAATTGGTGACCCTTCAGAGCCTGTTGGCTGATCCGGAGGACAGCGTTATGAACATCATAGCGGACGGACAGCTCCTACCGGCGGCGCCGGACGTAATGCTCCGCAACGGAGACTTCAAGAGAGGGCTAAACTTAATGATTGGCACCACCGAAGACGAGGGCTCTTTTTTCCTACCGATGTTAGCGCCGGACAGGTATGACATGTGGGCACCCAAACCGTTAGCATATGATGAATTGGTGGCTGATTTTAAACAATTTATGCCTGTGATCACACCGGGTGGATTGCCCGATAACGCTGATGATATCGTTAAGTTTTACCTGAATGGTCTGTCCGGCACTGATAGCCTACGTAAACAAGTGGGTGTAGCCCTGGGCGACGTTGCCATTGGTTGTCCCACTATATTGTATGCGAAGGCCGTACACTCGGCTGACCCGACGGCCCGCGTCTATCAGTACTACTATAACACCAAATCGGGTGATGAGAAAATGCTGTGCTCTAAATGGATGGGTGTCTGTCATTTCAATGACATTTATCCAGTGTTTGGTTTACCACTAATTGATGAGCACCGGTATGTTGAGAGGGAACGGGAGATCTCCCGACAAATGATAGACATATTGAGTACATTTGCTCGCACTGGGAGTCCGCCGGCGCAGAGCGGCGCTCAATGGGAGCCATACTATTCAATAGACGGCCAGACAATCGGCCCGTACTATGAGTTCACTAATGAGCCCAAAGTTGGCACTAATTTTGGTCAAAATCTCAAACATATTGAGTGCGAAGTCTTGTGGAAAAAGCATTTAATTTATTAAATAATTATTTTAAATAGTCATTAGTTTTATTATGTATTGATTTCTATTATTAAATAATAAACATAAAATTTGTGCCATTCATGTGAACAGATTGTCTCATCTGACACTTAATTCTTATTTACCACCTTCATTTCGCATTTATAATTCGCCTTCAAAGCCGAGATCTCTTCACTTATGGCACTGTTTTTTATCGACAATTCACTCAATTTTGTGACCACTTCTTGATTACTGAGAAAAAAATTATGTTTAATATTTGTTAAAAATTACAGTAAAATCTATACTAATTTAAGTTAACGATTATATCAAACCTCGTGTATGAACTCAATTGTTGTCTCAAAGCATTCATCTCTTCAGTCATTGTCTGCATTGAATCCAATGCTGTGTTGAGCTGTGCTTTCAATGCCTTCACTTCGGACTCATTGCTTGCCTTCAGAGCCGACATCTCTTCACACAATTCACGACACTTTCGGTCCGACTCTTCACTCAGACTATAGTTTTGAACAAACATTTTATTAATAAAATATAATACCGAATAGAGTACCAAAAAACCTACCTTGGTGTTTGGGCGTTGACCGTGTGATTGCATCTGGAATGGACATAGAATTTATATTTAACAAAAACAACACTACCAAAAGTTGTATATTTTTCGCCCATTTCACGACCATCATCAGCCAATTCATAGTCGCCATACCCGTGGCCGGTGTCAACCGATATGGCAATAGTGTCGGTGTTTTCATTATACAGACCATTGGTTTGTAGAAAACACTTGAGATCTTTAAACGTTTTGGCAATTGTATTGATTTTGATTAGGTTTTCACTACCAGAGTATTGTAGAAAGTATTCTGCAAATGCCATAATTAATAAATGTTTAATAATAATAATATTAGTTAATAAATATTTATGGTTAAATTAATGTCTGACTGTTTATGTAACATACACAGTGTATTTGATCTAAATTTAAACTCACAATTACTACTACACTGTAACTTATGTTTTGGATCATGTGTGCGCACATGTAGTTTGATTTAGAGTACAGTATATTTTAAATAATATGTAAATGTTTTAAATAAACATAAAATTTAAATCACAATATATCAAATGATTACAATTTTTCAAATCCAACACAAAAAGCAAATTATATTTTCTAAACACAAATAAACGCAGTAAAAACTCATTGTAAACACTATTTCATACAATTATAATAACTTTTGACAAAACTTTTGTTTCAATGTTTAACAAATTAACTAAATAACTAAATAAAATTGTTATGCTCAATAATGTTAAACGAGATAAATTAACATAATGTAACTTAAAATTTAAACCGCTATTTAATGTGAGCCCAAAGTTGGCACTAATTTTGGTCAAAATCTTAAACATATTGAGTGCGAAGTCTTGTGGAAAAAGCATTTAATTAAATAAATAATGTTTTAACAATAATTAGTTTAATGAGCTGAATTTGTAATTGTTTTTAAAATTTACATTATAACTTATGCAAAATATTGTTTATTAATTATTCTTAATTATAAAATCAACTGTAATGTAATTAACAAATTACATAAAAATGCAAACAAATTAAAGTACTTTTAAACATACAATTAATTGAACAAAAAATACCTTTCATTTAAATGTGAGATTTATTCGTGAGTTTAATAAATGCAACAAAAATGTTATACAAAAATGGCGTTCATTTGAAGTATATTTAAATCTTAATTCGGTTCAAAATGTATTTAAATAATATTCTTTAACCTATAAAAGTAATTATTCATAATTAATATGTGGAAATAGTTTAGGTTTCTTTGTCTGCATTGAATCCATGGCTTTCTTCATCTCCTCTCTAAATGCCATCATTTGTGACTCAATCGTCACTTTCAGAGCCGACACCTCTTCACACAATTCACGACACTTTCGGTCCGACTCTTCACTCAGACTAGAGTTTTGAACAAACATTTTATTAATTTAAAAATATTATATAATATATTAAAACGGATAAAAAATACATACATCTGTGATAATCTATTGACGGGCGCCAACGACTTTTTCCTGATCAATATACCATTGTAGTCTATACCACAAAGTTTGCAATCATTGGGAAACAGAATGTATGAAGGACCGTTGTTCATGTAAGCCCATAAAACAACATGGTCACATTCTTGATTATATAAGCCATTGTTTTGTAGTAAACACTTGAGATCTTTCACTGTCACAACACTGGGCGGTACGTATAATTTAATTTCAAGTTTATTACCATGGAATGTAATACTTTGAACAGACATGGTTAAATTGAAGATTGTTATTTTTGTCAACTATTAAGTAATGAAACTATTTTAACATCTAATGACTTATTTTTATTGCTGACTGTCTGTGATCTGATCGTACAATCACTATTTATACTGATGGTCAGTTTGTAGTCAGGTATGCGCACATGTGCTGTAATTACTTGATTTCTGTGCAGTATATTTAACATAATATGTAAATGATTTAAGTAAACATAAATAAACTCAGATTTTAAATGCGATACAAGTGTTGAGTCCATACAAACCCAAGGCTGGAGTCTGAGAACAGAAACTTTAAATGCATTATTAATTGCATATCAGATGCAAAGCATGTGATAACTAGTCAATGATAAGTAACCCTTATTTATAAACCGATTAACATTTCAAATGATTTATAGCGGACACGTGTTGTCAGCACTGGGCGATGTGGTTGTGGTCACAATTAACTATAGACTCAACGTATTTGGTATGCTATACACGGGAGCGGAGGGCACAGCATCGGGCAATCAGGCCCTATGGGATCAGGCGCTGGCACTGGAGTGGGTCAGCGATAATATCAAATACTTTGGCGGCGATCCCGATATGGTTACGGTGTTTGGCGAGAGTGCCGGCGCTATATCGACGGCTCTGCGCACACTTTCACCCTTCAGTTGACATCTGTTCCGGCGGGCGATTGTGATGTCCGGAACACCGGTTAATCGACATGTTGCACAATCACATAATGTAACTTAAAATTCTAAAATCAGCTATTTATTGTGTAATCAATATTATGGTAATTTTACTGTATTAAAAGTTAGTACAATATTAATGATAATCATATGATAATAAGTGGCAATATTTTGTATTAATCACAATTTAAAAATAATTATTGTGATATTTATAACCAATTCGCTTTACAACTTCACAACTACATAAAATAAATTAAATAATAATGATCAAAAAATGCTTAAATTTATAATAAAACATAAATTTACCTTCGTCCTCGGACCATATCTCTCCCATATATAAGGCGTGTCTTTACTCAAAACACTGTTGTCAGCCGATTGGCAAACATTGCTCTCATCTGTGGTTTTGTCTGAATTAGTGGTCAATTGATTGTGGGATCCGATCGATGAACAACTGGACGACGAATCACTCACTGAATGCCTGTTTTGATAAAAATTGTGAATATTTTTATGGAAAATATTAATTAAAACCAAACTTTATATTTAAAGCATTGATTTCTTTCTCCAAGAGTTTGGCTTCCGATTCAATGATATGTTTGGATGCCTTCAATGCCGACAACTCTTCACTCAATTCACTGTTTTTTGTCGACATTTCACTTAATTTGTGCTTCAAATCTGTGGCCATATTTTGATTACTGAAAATAATTATAAATTTATATGAAAACTAGTTTAAATGCAATCAAATATAATATTCAATTAGTAGTTATAACAAACCTCATGTTATTTGAAACCACTTGTGATAAAGTATACGCCATTTGTTTCAAATTATTATTTTCGGTAACCATTGTCTCCATTGAATCCATGGCTGACTTCAGGTCTGTTCTCAATGTCTTCACTTCGGACTCATTACTCGCTTTCAAAGCCAACATCTCTTCACTTAAAGCACTGTTTTTTGCCGACAATTCACTCAAATCTGTGACCACTTCTTGATTACTGACAAAATATAATTTATGTTAAAAAAGGGGTTAAAATTTTAAAAATATTTAAAGCTAATAATTATATTAAACCTCTTTTCTGAACACAATTGTTGTCCCAAATTATTGATCTCTTGAGCCATTGTCTGCATTGTATTCATAGCTGTGTTGAGCTGTGCTTTCAATGCCTTCACTTCGGACTCATTCCTCGCTTTCAAAGCCGACATCTCTTCACTTAAGGCACTGTTTTTTGCCGACAATTCACTTAAATTTATGACCACTTTTTGATTACTGACAAAATATTTATGTTTAAATGTTTGTTTAAAATTTCAGTAAAATCTATAATAACTTTAGTTAACAATTATATCAAACCTCGCGTATGAACTCAATTGTTGTCTTAAATCATTGATCTCTTCAGTCATTGTCTCCATTGAATCCTCTGATGTCTTAAGCTGTGCTTTCATTGCATTCACTTCGGACTCATTCCTCCCCTTCAGAGCCGACATCTCTTTATTTAAAGCACTCAAATCTGCGACCATTTCTTGATTACTAAAAATACAATTCATATAAAAATGTTTTGAAATAAAATATAGAAATTGTTTAGAAATTATATCAAACTTTTGTCTCAAATCCTTGATCTGAGTCTCCATTGTCTGCATCGAACCCATGGCTGACTTGAGCTGTGCTTTCAATGCCTTCACTTCGGACTCATTGCTTGCCTTCAGAGCCGACATCTCTTCACACAATTCACGACACTTTCGGTCCGACTCTTCACTCAGACTAGAGTTTTGAACGAACATTTTATAAATAAAATATAATTTAATATATAAGCTTATATTTAAAAAAAACTTACATTTGTGGTTGTGCGCTGACCGTGTGATTGCATCTCGAATGGACATATAATTTATATATAACGTAATAAACACTACCAAGATATTCATATTTTTCGCCCAGTTGGCGATCATCATGTGCCAATTCATAGTCGCCATACTCCTTGCCTCTTTTAGCCGATATGGCAATAGTGTCGGTGTTTTCACTATACAGTCCATTGGTTTGTAGAAAACATTTGAGATCTTTAAATGTTTTGGGGGATGCGTTGATTCTGATTAAGTTTTCACTACCAGAGTATTGTAGATAATATAGTGGCATATAATTAAATAGTGACATAATTAATGATTGTTTAATTACGGTAATATTGATTAATAAATATATTTATGGTTAAATTAATGTCTGACTGTCTGTGTATGTGATCTGAACTCACAATTACTACTACTCTGTAAACTGATAGTCAGTTTGTATCATGTATGCGCAAATGTAGTTTGATTTAGAGTGTTGTATATTTTAAATAATGTGTAAATGTTTTAAATAAACATAAATCGTAAATTTGAAACATGTGTTGAGTTTAAGGATGGGGGCAATAATACATATGTATAATACATGTGTATTATTCCATGTATTATTCATGTATTATAC